GTCTACAGACTCTACATGCTCCATCACATTATGCATATTATCGTAGCACCTCCGGATGCTATGCTTGATCCGGCCAGGAGGAATCTAGTATATAATGTTTCATAATCATAGCGTTTCTAGCTCATCAGATTGGATTTACATAATTGCATAGGCTTTGTAATGACATGCCAGAGTGAATTATTACCATGTGTCTTCATCGAGCCGAGGAGCTTGATACGCAATCGAGTCTTAGGCTCTGGAGATCCAACCATAACCAAGCTACCGCATTTCTAAACCCAAAGTAGTCTAATTGAACTTTGCATTGAACATACTATATACATATCATTTCCCCTATCCACCACAATTATGCTATTAGCTAGCCTAATACTATACAACACGAAGCTCCCTGACACAAATACTAGATATCTTGCATGCACTCGTAACACCCTAGGTACATCACAATTCCAAGTAGCTTTTAGTTCAACCCCTTAAGAAGCTCCGGGAAAAGGAGCTCGTCAAACTCCCACAACGTCGTCTGGAAGTTAACCGAGAAAGCACCACCAGTCCACCAGGTCGACCGTCCACCCTGCAACGCGTTCAGCTTCTGGAAGAAGCCAGCCTTAACGTCAGCGACCGAAACGCGCGCATGCATGGGACCGTGGGTCGCAAAGTCAACCCAACTGAGCGGCTCCCCGTTGCTCGTCTTCGCCAAGCGGCCTGAACGCAGCAGTGTGTTGAAGTCGTTCTGGACTAATCTCTTAGCACCCTCGGTGTCGAGAGTGCTGTTGCCGACAATGGTTACTCGGAAGAGGTCGTCGCCGCCGATGTAGTCAATGCGAGCTGTGAAAGATGCGTCAGGTAGGGCGAGGTAGTTGCTCGGCGCGGCTGCCGGGGGCAGGTTGAAATAGGATTGGTTGACGGCGAAGGCGGCGTTGTTCACGATACCAGTGTACTCATTGGTGTAGGTGAATCGGGAGAGGACGTTCTTCTCGTTGCGGTCCAGGTCGAACGGGGCCATGTTGGCCGCGGTTGGCTCGATGGCGAGCAAGAGACGGCGAGCGTGGATCCGGGTGGTTTCACCCGTCTTGTGGTTCTTGACGGTGAGGATGACGCTGGAGTTGCTGCGGTGGCTCTCAATCACGGTGCTGGAGTATAGGACGTCGTCGGCGAGATCTTCAGCGATGGCATCGTACAGGTCCTGATTGCGACCCGATGCGGGCGCGAGTTGGTTTTGCTTGCCTACCATCGCACGGGCCATGGAGGCACCGAAACCCTGCAGCACGAACATGGTAGTTTCCTTGGTCATATCACCCAGCCCTAGACCAGTAGACTCATACATCAGAGGGACAGCGGCTTCCAGGCCATACTTGGTGATAAAGTCGCCGTAAGGGATCAGAAGATCCTCCGGGATTGCGTCTGGCTCCGGGAAGTTGCCGTAGCCAGGTTGCATCAGATGTTCCCATGGCTCCACAATCTCGAGGAATTTGGCCATGGCCGCCATCTGGTCTGCCATGGGCGGCAGCGTGAAGTTGACGGGGTTTCCAGTCTTGAAGTCAATATACTCCGTGTTGACACTGACCATTGATGGAGATCCAACCTCAATGCCAAAGCGATCGAAGAAGCCGGTCGCGTTTCCAGCATCGAGGAAGGTCATTACACCGAAGTTATAGGGCTTGCCGGTCTTGGGATCGGTGTACGAGTCGACCATGCCACCCTAACCATTAAACATGCGTCAGCTTGCAGTTCCTATTGTCGCATGTTTCCGCGATTGTCACGAAGAGTTTCATTTGCTCACCAAAATATCCTGTTTCTCAATGAGGGCGATGCTCTTGCCAAAATCGTCCCGGATACGAACGGCAGCGTACGCACCGGAGGCACCGCCACCCACAACCACAACGTCTTTATAGAGCACATTTGGTGATGAGCCCGCTGCTACCAGCGGCACGGCAGCTAAGAGACCAAATATGGATGTTGTCAGGGACAGCATATTGTCGAGTATGCCTGTCTTCCCGGGAAGCTGGAAAACTGAGTTTTGCAAGGGGAGGCACCGCCTATCGCTGTGCCCAATGTGAGGAATTAATTGACCAGAAGGTAGCGATAGGAAAGATTAAATTGTCACAGGGGACAACCTTGGCTATATCTCATTTCATTGTGAACGGCAGTCCTGTCCATGGTTGACTACCGATATATTGAGGACAACGGGACCGTTAAAGAGCGGACCATAATACTAAGTGCATAGTGTCCCCAACTCTACATTCTTGCCTGCCGCTGTACCATATATATTCGCTAAGCGACATTTTAGTTCATAAGATGGTGAAACAATGGGACTAGCTTTCATATAAGTAGCGCAGAACCCTTGTCTAATCCCTGTCTAGTACGTCTTGTTCGGTAAATTAGAGACATTCTTAGGCTATTATGGGCCAACAGCCCCTTACAGGGACCGATATTAGTCCCGTTGTTCCAACCTATCGTTGTACACCTTCACATGCCTAGTCACATAATAAACCGTGTTCTGTTCCGCGGAAGCCGAAACCCTAAGAGTTGGGACAGTAGGATCATGGTGTGGAATACTTCGTACTCGGGGTAATTACTCCGGAATATAACCGGCAGATAGCAAGGGGTCCACCCTGGGTGCATTGACCCCGGGGGGAGCTCGGACCGAGATGGACGGCAACTTACGGTGAAAGATCTTTTGGATGATATTGCTGATGGGGCCAGAATTAGGTAACCTGGCCCGAACAATCCATTCTCATTGGTGTCGGAGGTGGCAGGTTAGGGTTACCTCTAGGCATCCTTTTATTGCCATATATTACTTTGCCGGAATGTGTCAGTCTCCTCTCCCCAAACCAAAAGCCAAGTCAAATATCTCGGTCTAAAGAATTGTGCTATGCTGTTTACCTGTACACTGGCGCATTGTATACTAGAGTCAAAATATTGTATGACTATCTTCAAGACCGCGTCTCCTCGACGTCCTTGAAGCGGCTAAATGCCAGCCAGCCACAAACACATATAGAAATCTAATCAACTGACAAGGATGTGAATCCAAGCATCTACTAAGCAAACCGTAAAGCGCCAGATAAACTTTCTTTAATTTTTTACTTACGTCGCATCAGTTGTAAGGACTGCTTTCCGCAATTCGCACATGCCTCCTCTGCAAGATCTTCCCCTACCCTCCCTCTAATCTTAATCCCTGCGAGACCCTAAAGAAACAATGCTGGCCCTAGCTACGCATCTCCGATAATGGGGTGTACCTTCTTAACTACCACGCCTTCAATGTTGGCCCCTGTACCAACCTCGATCCCTCCTTAAATGCCGACGTCTACGGGGAACACCAGAGATGTGGTGGCTGATGAGAGCCATCGCGGTATCATTATAGGGGTACAGACGGCACTGACGGCCCTGGCCGTTGTTGTCGTCTGTCTCCGTCTATATGTTCGCATGAAGATTGTCAGGAGTTCTGGGTGCGATGACTGGACTATGGCTCTTGCGGCGGTATGCGCTTCCTTTTACATTGTCTTTGACTTTGAACCAGCAATTTTAACAAACTCAATCCCAATTTGGACGAACTTGATCAACATACATGCGGTGCAGAATTACTAACGTGCCTTACCCAGCTCTGTTCCCTCGGCGGCTGGATTCTTTACGTCTACAAAGCATGTCACGGCGTCGGGCACCACATCCAATTCCTTGACGACATGGAGAGAATGAAGTTGGACGAAGCGGCGTTCTGGCAGGTTATAATCTGCTCGGCTACTGGGATCGCGTTACTCAAGATATCTATTGCCCTGAATTTGCTGAGGTTCAGCCCGACCCGATGGTACACCATGTCTTTATGGGCAAGTATTGGTAAGCCAGACTTCCCCATTTTCAATGATAAGTAGTAGCAGGCTATTAAAGACTTACTTTTACAGCATTTGTCGCAGCGTACAGCTTCATGGGCGCGATGACATTCTTCCTCCATTGCAAACCGATGCAAGCACATTGGGATAAGCAAATCAAAGATGCGAAGTGCTACTCCGTACATCTATTTGTCGTCTTCGCTCTTATCAATACATGTATGTGCCCATAGCGATCATAAAGTATTAAAGAAATTCTTCGCCGACCCAGTCATAGCCTTCAACATCTTCACTGATGTCCTTTTCGCCACGATCCCGATCCCCATCGTCTGGAATCTACGCATGAAGCGTCGAGTCCGCATGTATCTTATCTGCGTCTTCAGTCTCGGTTACTTGTCAGCGCTCCATTTCCATTTCGAATCAAAAAGAATCAATCCCCCTAACAGAGTAAACAGCACAGTTGGCCTAGGCGTTATCAAAGCAGTTGCTCAACTCGCATACTCCAATGAGACGGATATTTTCTTGTACGTTGCAGTCACCTCACAATCTAACGTCATGTATTTATATGGCATGCTGACAGCCCGTTCCTTTTAGTAACGACTCTATCCTCTTCTGGGGCCTGTACGTTTCTTTCTCCCCTTGGCTCCCTAACCCTACATACGTATGACTTACCATTGATTCTTAGTGCTCAATTCAATGTTGGAATTCTTACTGCCTGTGTCCCGTCGCTTAAGCCGCTTGTCAGGAGAGTTCTCAAACTATCCGAATACACAGATTCACGCTCGCGCTCACACGGACTATATGGGAGACGATCAACAGGTCGGCGGACTGGTAGCAGGCATAGCCGTCGGGTGTTCTCCATCTATAGGCGGGACCAGTATGGAGTTGAGGAGTTGCACAGTCATGATTTATCTACGCGCAGCCAGTCTGATGAAGTGAAACTCACGCCGTACGGAGCAACGGTATCGTTCACGGCTCATGCTGAGAGAGGGAGGCTTGATGATAGCAGTGAGATTGAGGAGGCTGTAATTGGCGAAACGTCTCTAGAAAAACGTGGGGTGGGGGGTATCTTGAAAACAACGCAAACTACTGTCGTTAGCAGCAGGGCTGTCGATTAGTACCTATAGCATAGCCATTGTATTCAAAAAGTAATTGATATGAACAAGTAAGCATACGCAAGGTCTATTACCAAAGTAACCACGCCACTAGCTGTGTATATGCTGCTTCGTCATCGTCCGCAAGGTTGGCATCATAATCACTCCCCAGACGACCCGCGGTGGCTTCCTTTGCACGAATAGCGTCTCTCAAGCAATCCGCTGCATTTACATGACCCTCAGCTTTATAGATCTTGTACTTTCGGAAATACGCTAGGGCAAGATAACCATCCGCTTTTGGTAAGCTGCTAGCAATCGAAATACATTCATCGAGAAGCTGTCTATACGCCGTTCACTTCCATTAACATGTGGTCTCTTAGAGCGGATCAAATCAAACTTACAGAGCAGCCATAGAATTCTTCGTCAGTAACATATGTTTGGCAACATGGCACAGAGAATCACAAGTCTTGAAGCGAGAGCCGAATTTCTGTCGCCTGAACTGAAGGACTTTGGAGGCAAAGTCTAATGCTTCGTCTAGTCGGCCTTGAGCCTGTCGCACCATACTCAGTAGCTGCATGCCACTGGCATATCGAGGTAGATTATCTCGTAGAAGTTGCTCATCCGTTAAATCGCGGACATCTGGAACGGAAGTATACATGGCCTCGGCTTCGTTTGGCTTTCCCATTCGCAAAAGGCAACTGGCAATATTAGCGTAGGAATTGTCCACCATTCGGCAGTTGATTGCCTTTCGGAACTCTAGTGATCGCTGGAGGTAATTCATTGCTTGTGTCAGGTCTCCTAGCTCTGTATACGCGAAGCCTACGTTACTGATGCTGACTCCCATTCCCCAGTCGGTCGGTGGCAGTATACCCTCCCGTATCTCCAATGCTTTCTTCAGGTTTTGCAAAGCTTTAGTATTTGCCCGAAGGTCGACTTGTACTAACCCCATCATGTTGCGAGCTTGTGCATATCTGCTAGAGTTCGTGTCTCCCTTCCGTTCTAAGGCTTGCAGGCAGACGTGGAGGAGGTTTTGGCTTTCCTCGTAGTATTCAGCCTCATATAAATACCTAAAGTCGAGTCAGCTACACACTCTATTCAACAAATACTCAACACGGAGTGAATCCAGGTATGGTAAGGAGAAGAAAACGAGGAAAGAAAAAGAAGATGGAATTGGCGAAAAAAATAGAAAGATAGACCTCTCACCATGAACATCGAAGCAGAAGCTCAATAAACGTATCCAAACATTTTAATCCTCCCTCAACCTGTGCAAACCTCTCCGCCAAGAACATTACGTGCCGCAAGCATTTCTCACAAGCTTCCCAGGCATGATACACCCAAACATGCTCCTGGTCGGTCCATGAACTTGGGAAGGCCTGGCATAGAAGCTGGGAGCACAGATCAAAGTAGCGAGCTTTATCTGCGGGGGAAAGCCCTGAAAGCGTCGCTTGTTGAACCAAACGGTGGACAGAAATGCTTTTGCTACGTGGGTCACGGTCTATCAATGCGGCCCGGAGGAGCTCTGCTTTGGCATCCTCAAAGTCAATGGGATCCGGCAGGAACATTAGGATAGAGTCATTAAACTGGGTCTGGTTGGAAAGTGCAGAGGCGGCGTTGTATAATGTAGCCTCGTCAATAGCCTCGGGGTCAAGAAAGGCCAGTAGGCGTTGTAGCACGGCTGCATTGCCAGTGAGCTTTTCCAAAGCAAGCTCTCACACCGTTGCAATTGTGTGCTGGTAATCAAAAGCTGCTGGGCGTCTCTTGTGCAGCTTATCCTGGTTGTTCTGGTAAAGGACGAGGAAGTCCTTTAGGGCCATCTTCTGCTGCCGGACGTAGCTGCTCATTTGGCTCAAGGCAAGGGGTAAACCCCCCAGTAACTTATTGGGCTCAGCAATTAATAGGGCATTATTGGGATAGTCATAGCTAGGCCCCAGGAGGCGCTGCAAAGCTTCGGTACCCATCCTGGCGTCAAAGGCATTCACATAGATACCCTGTGATGCGGGGTGCAAACTGGCATTGAAATCGCGGGTTGTTATTAGGATAGACCCTACCACACCATGTGGCCAGCCATAGTCTAGAACTTCCAAGTTGTCTGCATTATCGAATATCAGAAGCCAGGAGCATGTTGTATCCGCGAGCCAAGATTTCACTTTGGTCATGGCCCCGAACGCATCCTGAGTCTCCAGTGTTGCGGGAATCACACCGAGGCGTCGTGCGACAGCCATGTAGTCCTGTGCCATTTTAACGGTACTATCCGCGGATATCCAAAGAACAACATCATATTGTTCCCGTGTACGATAGGTATATTGTAAGGCTACCTGAGTCTTCCCTGCTCCACCAATCCCATACAACGCCAAGGTACGTGGGCCAGAGCGGCCAACTTTAGGGTTTAGGACATCAGCGATATGATCCAACAGGCCTTCACGGACATAGAAGCGGTCATTTAATGTCAGAGGAACGTGAAAGCAAGGTATCTCTAGACCAGGGTGTTTATGGCCAGTATTTAATGACTGAAATAAGGTGATCATTTCATTGTTCCATTTTAGGGCCGCTGTAGTAGCTGCGCGTTGAGTCTCCCGCTCCACTTGTTGTGATAGCATCTGGATTCGCTTGAGGCTTTGTTGAAAATCACGACTAAACTGCGGCCATGACTGCCGAATTGGAAGCACTGTAGAGAAACTCCCTTTAGCTCCAGTGCAAGCGACAAAGTCGATGCAAGGAGGTACTTACAATGCTGACGCCGCACGCGAATGAAGCTGATAGCACGTGCACAAAACAACGCCAGCTCAGTATACAGGTCAACCACGGTAGTCTCCAATCTTTCATCCAGAATGATGTTATCCTCAAAGGGATGGATCCCTGGCAGTGCTGCAATCAACTCTTCGAGCACAACCTGGACCTCGCTAAAGATTTCTTCCAAGGGTGCCAATAGCTGCAATGCATACCTCCTTAGAAGCGTTCGACAGTATCGGGGCAATGAATCTTACAGATAGCAGAAGGCAGATTCCACCCCATAGTAGAGCGCCGGTTTTGCAGTCAAGTGCAAACGATAAAACCAGCACAGTCATGAAGTCATTCAAGTATACTAGGCTTGGACGAAATCGGGATAGACTTGCCAGCAGAGTTTTCGTTTCGGTGAGCCTTCGCCACGCTCTTGAGTTGTGACAAAAGGATGTCAAGGGAGAAGGTCTCCATGCAGATCTCCAGGTCACTCTCATCATGCAAGCTTTCTTTGAATCGCTGCCGTACAAGGCTCCAGACCCGTGGTCGCGGGACTGGACTGAGGGAAGAGGCTTCCATTTTGAATCTAATACATCGAATGCCCCGTGAAGAAATTGAGGAAATCTTAAGGAAGATATAAACATTTCAGTTTCCAAAAGCCTGACCTAATTATTGCTTTGTAACATGGAGGGGTATCTGGAATTAATACCTTTTCTTTCGTCATTTTTCTTTTCTTTTTTTTTTCTCCACAGGTCTTGGGATACATTCAACTTTGGTGTAGCAACAGACTTCCAATGCGAATAAAAGGGTATTACGTATACAATACAAGCTGATACACTGTCATACAGCATGTATAGAGGCCTATGTTCGATGCCAGCATCCGCTCGCTCATAACTCCCTCGCGGGGCGCTGGAATATCGAATGTCATAGCATAAAGTCCAGGCTCTTTCCTACAGTGGCAGTGCCTGCATTCCAGCAACCCTTGTAACCTTGCTAGAAAACCAGCCATAAATATCATTGAACATCTTGTCAAGGCTGAATTGGCCACCATGGACCTCAAGACCCCGAGCACAGATCGTCTCCCAGTCTGGCCCTAATGATTAACCCTTCTTTTGATGGGCTGGGTATGAGAAAACGGCTTTGCGTTCATCACATGAATAGATGATGGACTTAACTCAAACAAATACATTGGATTGGATTCCGACATAAACTCATCGCCCGCCTCAGTAAATAGAAGAATAAGAAGCGGGTTCAAGGATCACAAACTTCCCATAACCACCATTGATAGAATCGATGATAATCACCCTACAGCTATGGATTGTCAGTCTTGCATTGGCCGCGGAGGAACAAAGAAGTTGAGCTCCAAGCCACAATTCAGAGGGCTTATTGTACGTTATTTGATGACATACCTTTGTGCTGGAGGACCCTGTTTCACTCAAAGGCGTTGGACTTATCGCCAGCTTTAGTAGGACTAGTTCCGCACATGGAGCTTTTCTTCTCCTTCTCGATAGGATGAGACACGTGGGTGCATGGCCCCGAATATGCAATAGCAGGCAGCATACCACCTCCACCAACCGAGGCGAATCCAGGGCCTCCACACGCACCTGAGCCACCGCCGCCCGAGTCTTGTGGATTCATATTGGTAGAACGGTTACCCAAGCGACAGCAACAAGCTGCTGTAGTGCCCCGTAGTGACAGTCAGCATAACGCCCTGTGGCTGGTGTTAAACCACATACCTCGAATAAATTATGACGACAGGGATCTGTGTGGCTGTGTTAGCTTGTTTCTTGATGTCGAGGTATGAGCCAAATAACTGAATAATTGAGATCCGCAGTCCGGCTTATGGCACATTTATAATTCCCAGAGACAGAGCCAGCAGTCCTCCTCCATCACAGGATGAAACCCTCATCGGGCACTACAGAAAACAATCAATACGGGACTGAAGCATACAAACAGTTACGTGCAGGGGCATCTAGTGTCCAATAGGTAATTGCCTCTTGTCTACCTAAGATAGATATGACGCATATACAAAGCGACTAGAGAGTTCAAAAAAACTGATACAATCCAATCCACCGGTGAGCCGAAGAAATGTTCTGCTTGAGTTCATTGTCCCTGTTGAACCTCGGCTACATCCAACTATCTTTCATTGTCTTACGAGGCGCGTTAGTGCTCACGGACCCCATCATTAAGACATGATGAATATGGTCAGAAAGTTGTCACGACAAAGCCCACGTCATTTATTGGACCTCTCCCTGTAAGACGTCATGAAACTTGCGATACACTTGATTTCCAGTACTGCATGTATTCATACATGTATCCATCTCCGAGGTAATCGCCAGCAAGTGCCGACCATGTAGTACATAGGTTGCACAGGCGCGGGCTGCACTCAAACAATGACAGAAGTTACTACGTTGATTTGTGGAAGATGCTTCCGTCCACTCTTGCAGAACATTGCTTGCAATCATGGATGCGAAAGTTGTCATATGATGCTTACAAGAAGCGTGTCTGGGAGCCTTACTAAGTCCACTATAATTCACCCACGCAGGCAAGGTAGAAGAATCTCAGGGCTCTAACGGAGGCCAATATCATAACCATAACATATGCTGATTTCCTATATTCTAGAGTGCCTCATTCGAGTAAATCCTATCAGTATATGAACATTGACTTTGGAATACTAGTTGCGTAATGAGGCTATCTACATGTTCATTAAGGTCTAGTATCTCTTCCTTATAGAACTGCAAGTCCTACGCAGCCAGAGTGTCATATAACAAAGACATCACTGGCTCCCAGCACGGCACAAATGGCCTTTAGTAGACCTTGAGTCAAATGGGGCTAAATTCAGCGTACGCTCAGCTGATACCTCAACACAAAGACAGGTATTATTGGTAAACAATGATGTACTTCGTGTCTGGTCTAATAAAAAGCTCTCCATTAATTTCTAGCAGACTTTCATTGGGAGATGCTTTATTTTGCCCGGAAGGCTCGGCAGACATACTGCCTGCGCTCTAGGCTTTCGTTCGAGTACGATGCAATCACTGATCCTCGCAGTAGATAGACCTCCTCTACACACCACACCTCATCTGAAATGATGGCGATGATCATATCTATAGCATGCGCAACGCTTTATACAGTCAATTATTCTATACTTAGAACATTAAAGGACTGATCTGGTCAATTCAGACGCAAGCCCGAACGGGATGGAATTGTGTCAGGCTATTGAACGACTAGAAGGGGCTCACGCACAGATCGAACGCGTTTGTGAAATCTGCGGGGCCTCGTCCATATCATATGGAGTCCTTCATTACGGTGGTGTCATCTATACAAAAAGTGTCGGGCTGAGAGACCAAGCGCAGCACCTGCCGGCAGATTCCCAGACTATTTATCCCCTGGCCTCGGTATCAAAGGGCTTCTTAGCCGCTGCCGTGGGAATCCTGGTGGATAAAGGTAAGCTTGATTGGCATGTCCCTATCAGCACATATCTCCTGCTGTTTGATCCCGTTAATGATGGAGATCTGGGAAGATATGCCAATGTTATTGATCTACTAAGTCACGCTACCGGACTATCACAGCATGACCTACTCCATATTGGGCCATTTGGGTCAATAATCAGTGACTCGTCTAAGCTAGTTCATTTACTTAATGCATTACCGACATCCAATAGCCATGGTTCAAGGTTTCGCCGGTGGTGGCTTTACAACAACCATGTCTCAGCACTAGCGAGCCAAGTGCTTGAGACTGTCTCAGACGGAATGCGCTACCCTGATCTTTTAGAGCAACGCATCCTACGTCCTTTACGCATGTTCCGGACTCTCGTCTCCATGAACAAGTTCAACTCGGATTCAAATATAGCCTTACCATATGCTCGCCTATCAGACGGCTCCTTCGCGAAACTGCCATTCCCCGAATACCTCCAAGAGACAACCCACATTCTTGCGAGTCAGGGGGTCACCAGCTGTGTCCAAGACCTATTAATATGGGCCAAAGCGACATTGGAACGTGAATCGTGGGAGCAGCTCCATACTAAGGAGAAGCTTAACGACCCCTTTCCCCCAAATAACCCACTACGCCAAATAACAACCATCCGCCATGGTCACTATCCACATCCTTTCGACAATGCTCCAGGTCATCCGAGTTATTACTGCCTAGGCTGGTTAAGCCTTACTCTCCCATCCTCGAATCTTGGCATGATTAGCTTCAATAAAGAGACGCGCCGCTCAGGCGACCATCTTGATTATGTATTAGGCAAGGATTCACCACCTCTCAGAGTCATACTGCACAACGGAAAAGCTCCCGGCTACAATTCCGCCGTATACACTTTTCCCGAGACATCTAGTGCAATTATTGTTCTTGCCAGTGGAGCTACTGATGGTGATCCTGCTGACTGGAGTGCGCAGATCCTGACACAGGAACTATTTGACCTACAACCTCGGGTGGATATAGTGGACCTAGCTAGAAAGGAAGCCGTACTTAGTCGACGATGGTTCGATGATTACATCATACGTCCATTGCGAGAAGATTTACAAAAATGTGAAGGGGATAGCGGCGCTAATGACAGCCATCTGTCCAATCTTAGAACATATGAAGGTCATTATCGGAACATTCACCTCCTGACTACCCTCAATATTCGCTTCAACGAATCCAGTTCAAATCTTGCTGTGTCTTTCAACAATCGAACCGATAAAGAGTATCTATTAAGGTTCCATAAAGGGGACGAATTTAGTTTCCTTCCCCCTGACCGAGACTCTTGGCTACGCGACTGCATGCTGGAGGTATTCGACTACCGAACGGGGATATTGAAGTTTACGTGTACAGATGATGGTGATATTTCTGGGCTATGGTGGAAGTGGAGCGCATGGGAGGAGGCATCTCTCTTCACGATGCAGACTACTACTTAACATGATATAGCTGGTTGTTGGTATTGCATGTCTTTCTGTGATTTACAATAGTATTTGGTCGAACTAATAGGCCCTTGTAGCCCTAAGGAATACTATACAATACCTGCATGATTTGAAGAACAGTCTGAACAAATGAGAGAAATAACCTGACCCCTCCAATGAGCACAACAGCCCAGAATGTATACCATGATTCTGTACTTCGTTTGTCCCGCCATAATTGCATCAGGCCCCGCGCCTTCTGACATGCTAGGTGTGCTTGAAGGGCTTCAAATCGGCCGTGGAGGATTGGAAAGTCAGAAACAAGACTAAAAATGCCTTCATGGTGGTCAATAGATACTGTTGTCAGAGTGCGAGAGCCGCATAGTTCCCCGAGAAGAAGATCATGTTGGTCAGGCGGAAGGTCACTAAATGGACGTAGTGATCGGTAGAACTGCCGCCCCTTTGCTGAAAGTCCGAAAAGCAGGCGATATGACAGCAGGACCTCATATAGAAAGCTTGTCACGTCTTCAGCGGTAGCCCAGTTGGTAGGATCACCAGCTGGGGCGGTACAACTTCAGAATCAATGAGCCGTAAGCCATTTGACAGCTAAAGCAAGGGGCGTGAGTCTAGTAAATACATACCCATGTATGACTCCTCGCACCCATTTCTCGCCCGATAAGTCTTTCTCGAGATTTGCTGCGCAAAAAGAAGGAAACCGAAAGAGGAACAAGGTTTTGGTGCGGCTATCAAACTCTAGATGCGCACCCAGTGTGTCAATCCACCTAATTTTCATCCCGCCAATTGTGGCAAGAAGAGACATATTGAACTGCTTGGCATGGACTGTCGCGAAGCTCTCGGGACTCTGACGATCTGTGCTTCTTGTTGGCAGTAGGTACCCGAAGCCAAGAAGGAACTCATGCATGGGGAGCTGAGCGCATCGATGATCTTGAGTATACGCCATGAAAGTTCGGCTCTCGTACCCATCCACCAGTTGTGCAACTGTCATCTGCGTAGGATTGGCTGCGTCCCACGTTGGCTCCCATAACATTGTCTGCCATCCTAAAATAGTGAAAACAAGCACACGCTGAAAACAAGTCTGTTCCACAGGCACCACACGGAATATGTGGGACAACTGCAGTTGTGTCACGATATCATCAACTCTTAAAGCCTTACCCTCTTTCATCAATCGCGCAATTCCAAGGTATACTCTGAGTAAATTGGATCCTTCTATTAGCCCATTGGTCTCCGCCAAAATTGGGAAAGCCGTCGAAAGATCCAGTGACAGTCGCGAGGCCCGTCGATTTAGCCATGCCCTGTACCACAGCATGCTCGGACTAATCCGTGTTGCCGACCGACTGCAAGCGGGAAACACAGTAATGACAGATGAATGTGCGGTCGAATTTAATAGGTCGTTATCTACAATCCGTGTTACCTTGCGTTCATTTATCTATGGTACCTCTCTCACCTCTACCTGGTGGAATAATTCGATGAGGTCGAAGTGTTCCTCTAAACCTATTCACAGCGCTCCTGTTTCTCTTTTCTTTCCAGGAAACCATCATAGAGGAATTGTATATGATACTGAAGTCAACATAGACTGTGCTTCAGCTGAGACATACAGCGAGGACATGGGCCTTATGGATGATGTACCCTGGATCCAAAAGTTCACATAATCGCCTTGTGAGGGCTGCTGCTGCGCCACGCTACGTGGACAGCATAAGGCGAGCATAGTCGTAGGGAGCAAATCAATCACCATGGTCGCAATAGGGTGCTTGATCAAGACTGCCCAACTATCGCTTGAAACCTGATGGAAACTCGAGGTTGGGTTATCCAAACATAATAGACATCAGATACGGCCCTATCTCCTGGTCATCGTTCTCATCATTCACCTGATCGCATTGCCCTAGAACGGCCGCTTGTATGCGCTGGTAAGCGGGAGGGTAACAGAACGTCATTCATTGGTGTCAAATCCATACGCCTGAGGATTTCCTCTGATACCCAACGCTTTTGGTGTATATATTTACTAAGTAAATATCAGGATAATTTAATACTCACGAATCCTCGGGGCTGTCAACCCAGACGATGACATCATCAGTTATCCGACATCCATACAAACCTTACCTTAAATTAGTGTCGACCCTAACACGCCTCATCTTTAGACCACTCCCATCCTGTGAGCTGATCATCTGACCTGCCAGGAATGCAGATGGTGACGCCGCCTAACCAAAGGGTCAAATACTGCCCTGTTATTGAGCTGTGTCCGGTCATGAACAAGATCTCTCGTAGTGTCTATTCCTTAAACTGTCACTCTATACTGACAGACTAGTCCAGAAAGCTTTTCGAACAGTGTATGTATCGTGCAGATATCGACCACTAGTGCATCTGATTATTGCTCGAAGGGCTTCACAAGGGTGACTTGTCGGGAATATTCTATATGCACTGTCATTTTAGCAAATACAGCCATGAATAGAGTTAAGAGATTATCCTCACAGCAAGCCAAGCTTGTATTGCTCTGAAATACTAAAGTAGTCCCTCGACATGAAGCTTGCTGTTATCCATATTAGGGAGAAAAAGAATCTGGTCCGAACTGAAACTTCTGGAAAGAGATCTCAGATACTAGAAAGTCCGATATACAAGAGTTAATCTTAATATAGTAGGATAGCTCCCCTCTTATGATGGGAGGGGAGAAAGAATATGTACAAAATCTTTCATTGTTGTTCCGGATGTAGTGTCTATAGGCGATTGAGTGCTAGAATGGTTTAGTTAGGTATGTGATTTGCTATCGATGGTTGTATCAAGGAAGATAATTCTAGTCCGATCCTGTATAATTCTAGGTACTTTTTCCCCTGTAAGAGGTGATACAATATCAATTTACAGGGATCCTTCGGGGCATATTCCCAACCTGTACTAGTGTATCTTGACGATCAGGGGAGAGGAATAGACATAAGTACCTTGTCGAGCCTAGGGTAGTACGGTCTCAAAATGTTGCTTGTTGAGGTATACACTTCACCAATACCTTACCTCGGAGATAACTTTCTATGGCCTTGTCGTTGATAAATGGTATGTCATGTGCATCATGAATTGGAGACGTTTCTCCGCACTCAGGGCGATGCAACCACCCGGAAACTATTCCATTGAGCACCTTTGTATCCGTATAGACTATTCTAATTCAAGTTAGGGCACGGCGTAGTCGCGGCGGCGCAGGACCGACGATCCTTGACCCTCTCTCGCTCTCTCTCGGGGGCTGAATTATAGGTAGCCTCGCTCCGCCACTAACTGGGAGGAAATTAAAAACATCTCGCCCCGTCCAGCGTGTAGCACGTTGTCTCCAAGCTACAGACCCCGCAGACTCTGCCAAGTATAATCTAAACATCGCCTCACTATGGACAGGAAGAAACTAACACCACAAGACTATACCGTGGGATGGATTAGCCCGTTGGAGGTGGAGCAAACGGCAGCCTTGTTAATGATAGACGAAGAGCATGAGCGCCTACCGCAGCCCGCCGCAGATCCAACGGTGTACCATCTGGGGAGTATTGCGGGCCACAATGTGGTGATTGCCGGTCTTCCTGCTACAGGGAACACATCCGCAGCTACCGTGGTAACCCATATGAGGCGAAGCTTTCCAAATCTGAAGTACGGTCTCTTGGTGGGAATCGGAGGAGGGGTGCCCACAGAAAGTGATCAAGGAAAGATACGGCTGGGCGATGTGATCGTGAGCAAACCCAGCGGGCCTCATTCAGGGGCCGTGCAATATGACCATGGCAAAGCAGAAGCAGGTCAATTTGTACGCACGGGGTTTCTCATGCCTCCGCCGGCAGCATTGTTGAATGCTGCGCAGATGCTTGCTGCAAAACGTGCAACCCTTATGACCGATCCGATAAAAGCGAATCTAAAGCGCATCAACACAACGCGCCCGCAGCTACTGCGCTACAGGTACCCGGGCATATGTCAGGATATTCTGCATTCAGCGGACTGTATACCAGACCTGGCCGCGGCGACATCATCGCAAGGTTGTAATTGCTACCACAGTGAGGCGCTCGTTATACAAGGAAGTCATCTTTCTCCGGGCGGGGTTGATCGCGATCAAAGCAGAGAAGGCACCTTTATTTTTATCCACCGGGGAACCATAGCATCGGGCGAAATGGTTATAAAGAATGGCTGTCTCCGTGATTACCTTGCGCAACAGCATGATATTTACTGTTTTGAGACGGAGGCAGCAGGTGCGATGACTGATTTCCCCTGGCTTGTGATACGAGGCGTATCGGACTACTGTGACATGCATAAAAATAATCTATGGCACGGCTACGCAGCAGCGGTAGCGGCGGCTTATGCACGAGAGCTCTTTCTTTACATGCCAATCAGCATTGTGTGAGTACATACAACATCCAGAGGTTCGTGCTTCCCCATTGACTCTCGAACTCCGGCTGATAAAGGTGGGGGTGTTAGAACACCGCCGACCCAGACTATGAAGGAGCCTCAGAACTTGACACCACTGCTGGCACATGGGTCCCGTGAAGCCACTGTGCACAAAATAGCGCAATGGCTCAGTGACTTAGACTTCCGTGTGAGGCAAAACGAGATACGCTGTCGCCGCCAGCCGTGTACCGGCGAGTGGCTCTTCGTTTCTACAGAGTTTCATACATGGCTGGGCCCGGATCAAGATCTGTTGTTCTGTTCGGGAATGCCTGGAGCAGGAAAAACGTTCCTGGCAAGCCTTGTGATAGACTACGTGACGAAGGAGTTTTCCGCGCGCGGCGACGTAGCGATCGTCTACCTATACTGCGACTATAAGACTCAGGACAAGCAGAAGGCAAATTTGTTACTTAGCGACCTGCTAAAGCAAGTACTCCTGCAGATCAAAGGGCCAATCCCTGAAAGTATTGAAGCCCTTTACCTCAGATGTATTGACGGTAAACTACGCCCCACGATTCACGAGCTACTGCGGCATTCCCTTGATATCCTAGGGCTTTTCCAAACCACGTTCTTAATAGTCGATGGGCTTGATGAGCAGGCCGTTGTTGAAAGAAGGGAGTTTATGCATCACATTTTTCAGATGCAAGGAAGTGCTTCCATCAAAATATTTGCCACCAGCCGGTCAATTTCCGAGATTCGTGCAGAGTTCACAGCAAGGCAGTGTTCTGAGATTGAGATTCGAGCAAGCGATCATGATGTCGACATATATCTTCAAGCAAACAAGCACAAACTTCCTGGATGGGCCCAAAGATCGCCTGGCTTGTTTCAAGAAACTGTTGACCGTATAACACATGCCTCAAAGGGGATGTATGTTGCTTCAAGTCCTCACCGAAAACTGCACAAACTGATCCCTCCAGGTTTCTGCTAGTCTACCTACTATTTGAGTCTTTGCTTCATAAGACAACACTTAAATCCTACAAACTTGCCCTAGTTAATCTTCCAGACGGTATTAATTCCGCCTACCAACAAATAGACAAGAGAATTCAGCAACAGAATCCCGAGCACAAAGCTCTTGCATACACTGCACTTGAGTGGATTACAGGTACCACAAACTCGATCACCGTTAAGGAGCTTCAAACGGCGCTATCAGTTCACACCGATGGATGTGCTCCGGATGATGAAGATCTCCCGGATATCGACACAATCATTTCCGTATGCTGTGGTCTGGTCGAAGTCAGTTCAATGACCCAAGCAGTTCAACTTGTGCACTATACAGCGAAGCAGTTTCTCGTGGACACATTGGCTGGCGACAATGCTCACGAGAAGATTGCAAACACATGCATTACCTATTTGTCATTAGAAACATTCGCCTCAGGGCCGTGTTCCGACGACGATGCGTTTGAACAGCGGTTAGCATTGTACCCTCTTTATCACTATGCAGCTCAATGGTGGGGCTATCATGCCAGGGTCGAGTCTACAGAGTTAGTCAAACGTATTCTCCTATTCCTATCGCAGAAGGAGAAGCTAGAAAGCGCTTCCCAGGCTCTAAAGGCTTCGAAGCTCTACATTGGCGATGTTAACTATAGCCAGCGGGTCCCAAAATCAGTGACTGCAGCACATATCGTGTCTCACTTTGGGCTTACTGAGGTTGCCCGACAGCTCCCATATCCTTTCTCCAATTTCTCTGCATGTGACTCAGAGCATAAAACACCCCTCGCCTGGGCAGCGGAGAGCGGTCATGTCAGTATTGTGAAGTATATACTCACGCATGGTGAGACCACAATCGTCGTGCGGGACCGCATTGGGAACAGCCCATTGCTTCTCGCAGCACAGGGTGGCCATACTCAAGTGGTTCAGGAATTAATGGAACATGACCAAAAAGTCCCCGACCTTCCAGATTACTTCAAACGATCTCCACTGTGGCATGCTGCCGACAAGGGGCATATATCAGTCGTGGACACACTTCTCACCAATAACGCGATTGACATAAATGCTAGAGATATTGACGGCTATACACCCCTTATTCGAGCCTCGGTCAACGGACACCCGTCTGTTGTGGCGCGTCTACTCGACTCCGGTGCGGATTTTAACGCGTGCGAGAGTCTCTACGGACGATCTGCGTTCATCTGGGCTGCAATTGAAGGTCACAGCGAGATAGTGGAACGTTTTATGAAAGTGAAAAGTGTCATGTGGGAAATGGTGGATAATGATGGGAGATCAGCATTATGGTGGGCCGCAGAAGAAGGCCATACGTCTGTCGTCAGGCAACTACTGCCCTTGTGTGACAAATTGAACCCCAACCAGCTGGACACGTTGCATCAGAGAAGTATGTTATCTCGAGCTGCGGAAAGGGGAGATGGAGCCATCGTCAGCCTTCTTCTGAGCGAAAAAACCACGGAACCTGATCGCCGTGATCAAGATGGATTGGTACCACTTGCTTGGGCGGCCCGTGGAGGGCACAATGAGGTCATAAACCACTTCTTGAAAACAGGTAGAGTCAACATTGATGCGCAGGTTCTTGAGCATCAATCTTTCGATGCTGTTCTGGCACAAAAACACAACCCAGACTTCAAGCCCTCACTAAGGAAAGGGCAAACGCCACTCTCGCATGCTGCTGAAATGGGGCACCGGCAGACGGTTGGACTCTTGCTGAATCATGGTGCAGAAGCAGACTTCCCGGACTCCTTTCGGAAGACGCCTCTCATGTACGCTCTGGAGAATGACCACGAAGATATATTCAGGCTGCTGTTGCAACATGGAGCCAATCCCAACCACTTCAATGGCGATGGGGAGACACCCTTGATCATCGCGGTGCAAAATAGGAAAATACAGATCGTCAAGTTACTGCTTGCGACCCACGGCATTGAGCCTTCTTGGGCACATAGGACTGGCCACAGTGCCTTGTGGTGGGCTACCTTCAACAACGATATCACTATGCTTGATATACTGCTGGATTCTGGCATGGTCGACCAAAGTTTACGTGATGATGCCACATTGCTTCCCATGGCAGCGCGGCTGGGAAATGAAGCGGCGGTCCGATGGCTTCTAAGCCAGGAAAATTTGATAGATCCAGATCGAGTTGCCCCTCCCGAGGGGCGGTCACCACTTTGCTGTGCAGCTTTCGGGGGCCATGTGGGTATTATGGAATTATTACTGGCCACGGGCAAAGTCAGCATCAAGCGAAAGGATATCCATGGTCGTTCAGTGCTATCGCGGGCCTCAACAAGGGAAGCCACCCTGTTACTGCTCAATGAGGGTGCAGACCCCAATGACTATGACTGCGATGGCAGGACACCCTTGTCCTATGCTGTGGAAGATGGCCAGAGAAGTAAGGTCGAAGTCCTTCTTCAGCACCCAGAAATCAACATTGATATGGTCGACCGCAACGGCAACACGCCTCTATTTTACGTTGGGAGCCTGAACAGTGGACCTGTTACGCGGGACAACAAATATCTTGAATATGAAAGGTCCAACCAAGTAGCGGGTGAACGGCTTAAAGGGGAGGAAGACCTTCGGGCCATGGCAGAGCTTCTCGTCAGCTACGGGGCGGACCTCCATATAACAAATAGTGACGGGCAAACTGCGCTGTTCCCTGCTGTTTCTCATCATCACAAAGCGCTCGTGGCATTTCTGCAACAAGCTGGCCTAAGTATGGACAAGCAAGACAACGATGGCATGACACCAACAATGCACTTATCGGTACACTCGAACCACACCCTCAGTCCGTTTGACCAGGAGCTAGAGGAATTGTTCAACAGTAAGCTACTCAACAGTACACTTCTGAACAGTAAGCTATTCTGTCAACCTGACAGGCAATTCGAGGATGAATCCCATGACGACTTATTCGATGCAGAAGAGGAAACACTGGGGATGTCCATCAATGGAATAGGGCTTGGGAGCGCGCGGAACCCCTTTCCGCAAATGGAGAACGCGTTGTACTCTATCGGGCTTTCACGAAAACAACTATCCAGCGTTCCAGTCCAGATGCATGGCAATATTGAGTCACCAAATATATTTGGACCTTTTGACGAAATTGAGCGGGTGCATCAGAACAAAGTTCTAGATGAGAAACCAATCGGTCCTCCGGTGCTAGGGAGACGGTTCCCAACGCAGAATTAGTAACTCTATCTAATAATCTCCGGTCCGTATTTTATCCTCGAAAGTTCTTTGTGCCGAGAGAGATTATGGCACAAAAGTATCTAAACTAGAAGTCTCAAATTTGCGCAGGGGACCAGGGGCTGCACGCGGGTCTGTTACATCCAAGTTGGATGTAACCTACAAGAAAATATCAAATTGGAAACCGTCTTGTTTATATTCGGTTTGGTTTTATAACTATCAAGCTCCTTCGTCATCGATCCTTTAAACTATAGCGTTTAGCACTCTTCAGAAAGGAACCCAAGCTGAACGGTATAGGGCTGCGACCCTAAACTTAGTGCTGATACTCTTTTAGTAGCCTGGGCGTGACAGCTCACAGTGACTATTTATTTCCTTGCTGGCTACAGTATGTACAGCCTTCCGCGTCCTGTACTATGTTTATATGTCCAGTAAACAGTAGGAAGCTTTGTACATCACAGAGGAACTTGAACTGGAATCCATCAGACATATTAATACAATCTTTAAATCAGACAAGCATTTAGATAACTCAGGGTATAGTTAACAGAGAATTGCACCACCCTTCAGGCAATTACTGATAAGTAACCTTCAACTCCGAATCACTAACAATAGTCGGAACAGCCTGAACAGTGTTGCTCGAGCTATCTTGAACCGCATAAAGTGCTGATCCGTCAAGGCCGTACTCCTTACCATCCGCCTTAGCAACGCATCCAGTAAAAGCAGCCTCACCAAAGTTCACAAACGTCAATCCATCACCGTCAACCGCCAAATCCTCCAGAATCCACTCGGCGTTCTGACCAGTCAAAGTCGCAGTCGCCGCCGGAGCAGAGGCAGTAACCGTGGCATTCTTGCCGGTAGTCAAGTTCTCGATAACAGCCACACCCTCACTGTTCGAAGTCGACTCGACACTGGTGAAGACCACATCTCCGAAGTTAAACTCAAGGTCAATATCCACCGAATTGGCTGGGTACCACTCGTACCAGCCTGCGAAGGAGGGCTGACCGTTTTGCACGTAGATGTCGACGCCGGCTTGCCAGATAGCGTCACCGGAGGTAGCGCCGTCAATGCCAACCCAGAAGGACACAGCTTGTGTTTCAGAGGATGAGGCGGCTGTTGGCGTCACAGAGGGGAGGGTGAAGGTCGCTGCGACGTAGCTGTAGGTCGCGCTGGCTGCGGGAGCCGTTTCCTGCACTGCTCCCGCCCAGTTCTCGTTGATTATGTAGTTGTCTTCGGATTGGGCCTGGCTGTGAGCGATGGCCTTGGATTTGGCTTGGGGAGCTGCCGTGATTTGGGCACTGGGCTGCTCGGCTTGCGCTTCGGAGAGACTGTCAATGTCGATTTCGCCTAGCCAGCCTGGGCCCTGGAAGCGCCGAGCTCTAAGGCCTTGGCCGTGGGGGCCGGCAAGGGCAGTGCCGGTCAAGAAGGCTGTCAAAGCCAGAGAAGAAGAGAATTTCATTGTGATAAAAATAGTAATAAGAACTATGTATGTAGAAGTGAAAGAATTAAAGGATCCCCCCCAGTCAATGAGTGAATGAATAAACGAATGTATAATCCAGGCGAAAGATTCCAGATCTTCAGCGATGGATTGGAGAAAGGAAGTGACAAGGAGCAATTTGTTTTTAAAACATCGGCTTTTAGGCTATGTTTAAGCCATGGAGAAAGGCGCGAAGGCTTCCGTTTCATATTGATTGAACTAAGTCCCGTTAGTTGTCTGGTTTAAACAGCAGCGTTTAGTGCAAAACTCGATTGATCCAACAGCCCCTATTATTATATTGGACTTTTAATTAATGCACGGAGTATATCCGGTAGTCAACTGCCGTTGACCAACCATGACCTGAGTAAAAGATTGGTGGGAAATGCTTGCAGGTGCTTAACAGACAGTAAGTATGCCAGACCCACCATCGGTAGATGGACTACAATTAGGGCTTGGGAGTAAAATTACATGTCCCACTCTGAAACAACCGGCTCTCCTAACCCAATCCGGGAAGGTTTTCGATTTACGAATCTCGCATATTCACCTTGTTCATGAATTCTAGGTATATTAAACTACTCCTTGATCTGATCGCTGTTAGTGGGGTGCTTGACAGTCGATAACCTCCAGGGCTGGGATAGCCAAGAAGAAAGGACATATCTCCAGCCAAGGGGTTATTTCTGCCCATAGTCATCGTTAGCACTAATTTCTTGCCTTAAAGTCCCCTTCAACGTCGCCAACAATATCTCCGATTGGCCTTGATCTAGCAAAGACACTGGCATTTGTTGACCTGGAAGTTTAAAAATTGTTTGTCATGAACAGCTTTTATACCTTATGGTATAAATAGACATGCGTGGTCAGATCAAATACTTTGTAATGCTAAGTAGCATCTGCCAAATTGTCTCTTATGTAGTTACTGCCCAGCCTGTCCCTCGTGTAATACAGCTTGGGCGCGTGTTCTTGTACATGGCCTATCACTGGACTCTTCCGGTGTATCATCTGTCGTCTTGCGAAGTGATACACTGTACTTTGGTACTACTCATAGTATGTCTAGAAGCAGTTTGATTCTAGGCTTATTGGACAGATACTTGTGGATGGTTGAGTGTTTTTTGTGCATAGTCGTGACATGGTAGCAAGTAGTCAGGGAGATTCTGTAGACTGAGCTCAGGCTGTGCCAGTCCTAGTTATGCGTCTTGCTCTGTCATCCATGATATTGGTTGCCTTGGTATGACAGGCTAGTCAGTACTATACCGGTTGGTTGTATTCGTTTGCATGTCATCAATCTGTCTTGTTAACTTGGGCATGGCAGGGATTGCTTCTAGTTCTTTGACAACATACCATTCATGTAAAATAGCGATTGGAAAGTGTCATATCCAATATCTGTACCATTGCTAGGGTATCAAACAAAAAAACCACAAATACAACATCAACATGACCACCATTTCAATAAACCTCAATCACTATCCCCATCCTCTTCATCTTCCTCTTCCTCTTCCTCTTCCTCTTCCTCTTCCTCTTCCTCTTCCTCTTCTTCTTCTTCTTCTTCTTCCTCTTCCGCTCTCCTACGTCTCTGCGACTGTCTTCGCTGCGTTCCCTCCCCCTCCACATCCCCATTCTGCTCCTCCCCTTCCTCCTCCTCGCGCGGTTCAGGCTGCTTAATACCCAAACTCCTCGCCAACCTCCCCTCAAAATCCTCCCTCTGCTCCGCCGTCATATTCCCACTCCCAAAAACCTCCCTCACCAAGCCCGCCACGCCCGCAGTCCCAACCTCCATCTTCCCCCTCTGTCCCACCATATACTCAATCACCTCCTCGCCGCCATCCATCTCCCGCAGGCGAATCAGATACCCGTCTCTAACCAGCCGCTGCAGTAACCGATCCGTCCGATCAATCGGCGTATACGTATCGGCGTTCGTCCGCGCCAAATACCGCTCCAGCTTCTGCTCCGGTAATGATCCCCCGTTTAACAAGATCACGGCGATAATAAACGAATATAATCCGGTATAGGTACTCTCCCACGGGGCCTTCGTCGGTGGTAGAATCTCCGGACGTCTGTACGCGGCTGGTAATGTACTTCCCACGATCCAGGATTTGTTTGAAGAGGAGGGTTTTTCGACTTTTTGGGCCGCTATATTTATCCATCTATGTTAGCACCCATTCGCACTTCACAATCCACTCCACCAACTGAACATGAACATAACCAATCCTTCCCCACAACGAAATAAAAAAAAAAAAAAAAAATGGAAGATAAAAGAACTCACCCCGCCGATCATGAATCGTAACCCTCTCCCTCACCGGCAACTCAACCATCTGCATGCCAAACTTCTCCCGCAAAACCTTCTGCGCTGCCTCAAACACCACCTTGAACTGTCTCGCCCCTTGCTCGCCCAGCACTTTCGCACCGATCTCCGCCCTGCGAATCGGCAGCCGCGCATACTCGCAGGCCAGGGCCAGTCGGACCATCTTCTTCACCATCACGTCTGTGCTGCTCGGGTGGTGGGTTGCATCGTCGTCGCTGTCGGAGGCGGATGCTTGGGTTTGGTTTGTTGTGCGACGGCGTTGAGGGGTTGGTCCTTGGTCTTGTTCTTCTTCGGACCCTGATGATGATTCTGGTGCGGAGGAGTTTGAGGGGTGAGTAGGTGGGGGGTCCTTTGGAATTGGGTCTGTTAGTTTGGTTTGGTTTGGTTTGGTTTCTTTTTATGGGGTTGAGAGCTTACGGCACGGCGTTTGCGGATGAGGGGCATTTTTTTGTGTTTTGTATTCTTTTCTGGTGGGATAATGGGTTGAATAGAGGTCGAGTAGATTTGAGTCGTTATCGAGTTATCAGATATTGATACTGATTAATTTAGTGACGCGACGCGAGTGGATATGGCGCTAGGCTTATCTGGGATGCACCGTGATTGAGCTCGATTGTGCAGTCACATGTTCGATCACATGTGATCTGCGAGAATCAGTTGATTGAAGGTTTTCTTTACTACTGTTGCACCATTGTGTTGGTGTTGTTTTTTTCTTATTTTAGTATTGTTTTGGTTTGTTTTCTTTTTATTGCTTTTCATGAGGGGATATTATATTGTTTTGTTTTGTTTTGGTTTGGTGTAGTGGTTACGGCTTGGTTCGAGGTGAGATTCAATTGGGTATTGATATCATAAGAGGTTTGGTAGTGTATCAAAAGAACTGGTGGCCATGAGACATGACCCCGGCATCCTGGAATGTAAAATGAATCAATCAAGTAGCTGCGCAGAAAAGAAAAGAAGAACACCCTTCTAAAAACAGAAATTAAACATAAAAGCCTGCTGGACAAAGAACCCTCCGTTGAAAATTAAACACCATCCATCTCTAGTTGTTGGCCTGGTTGGTCTTGTCGTTGACCACGTCCTTCACTTGCTCCTTCTTGGCCTGCAGCAAGGAGCTGAGGAAGCCCAGGGACTCCTGCGATAGGACCAGGCTGGTCGTGATCAACGCCTTGCCGCTGGCCACCACGCCGTCGCCGCCGCACTTCTTATACTCGGATCCGTAGGTGTCAAAGACATGGGTCTTGACATCGCCCACGAATCGCACCGGGTAGGTGGCGTTGTCGTAGATGGTGTTCCGGAGCTTATCGGTGTCCTCCTTGATGAAAGGGAATCGCGAGTCGATCTGAGACAGTCCTTGGTCGCCGAGAGAGTCTGCGCGGGCCAGGTAGGGTGCGATGTAGCCGTAGGGTTTGGAGAAGTAGGGGAGGAAGGGCTTTGCGATGCGGTCATAACTCTGGTCGGCGTACTGTATGGACTTGGCACCGTATTTATTGCTCTTGAAGACGGTAATGGAGTCGGAGACGACGGGGTAGGATGTGAGGTGCTGTATGAAGGGTGAGTGATAGTCCAGAATAAATCAAGATGGTGGCATGGCTTACGTCGATGAAGTGCGAGTGTACCTTCTCGCCGTTGACAGCGTTTTCACCCATCTTCTTTGGCTCTGCGTGAGGCATCGGTTGCTATGAAGGGTGGAAGGTTAGTTTATGGGATGGAACTGGATGGGGATCGGCGAAGTGCATTGCATGGCATACCTGAGGAAGTAGGAATGTGTAAGCCACGAACTATCGGAGAATAAGACAGGTCGAATGCCACTGGTAGGAGGGCAGGTGTTATATAAAAGAAGCTTGGTGGGGGGAAGAGAAGAAAGTAGGGAGGGTCAAGATAAAGTCAGTCAGTTGAAGGAAAGGGCCAGGGAACGAGGATATTTATTAGCCTTCGAGGTATCAAACAATCACATCAGATAGAATTTGCTATTAAGAATCGACGATAATAAAAAAAGTAATAAGAAGTAGAAAAGCATGTGATAGCGGATCCGTAAAGTGACTGAACGCAAGCGGAGGGGCAAAAAAATTATAAAAAATAACAAAAATAAATTAGAATCAAATAGTGTTACACTACGGCTACAGGCCCGGCTCATCATTGGCATCTCATCAGCCTAGAATATCGTCCAGAGATAGTCCAGCATAGTCTTATTTGTTCGCACGGTCGGCCCGATCGTCCTCTGGTTGCAGTTCGAACCAGGGCCATGAAACGGATGAGTCTGGAATATCTTTCAATCTGGGTTGCCTGAGGGTCAACCAGACATCATGGGTAACCGGACTGGTTCCTTGGAATGGAGAGATAAGGTGAAATCGCAAATCGAATGATCTTTGGACCTTCCTGTCAAATTGCGTTATCGTCGTGGCGCGCGAGAAGATTTGATGGACGTTGAATCCGGAAACGCAAATGATGTTCCAGTGTGAGTTAGTGGGAAGTGGGCTGACGGCATGTGATTGCGGGTCACACTTTCTGTCGCTCTCTCATGTCTCTTACACTGTGTACTGTACTTGCTTTAGTTTACTTACTCTTCCTGACAGTATCCTCGTCCTAGAAGATCGTTTATTATTATCGACGCCTCAATGATGATCCTCTAAACTTATTCAGAGAAAGGTTATTTTAATTTCTCTAAATATTTTATTTTTTAAAAAAGAATTATCAACAAAAAAAAATATATATTCTATATAAATAAAATAAATAGAATAGAATAAACCAAAATAAAACATGGTTTACAAAACCTCACGAAGATGGATAAAATACATGAATCATGCATTACTAAACACCAAGTCTCTTATGAAGCGACACCTCCTCTCTCGACAACGCCTTGGCCTTCACTCAAACGCAGAGACTTTTCCTTCTCTTCGTTTCCCCTTTTGCATTGGATCCGCCCCCGTTGGTCTGAGCGCCGTCTGTCTAGCCAACAATCGCTCTTCTTGGCCCCGTCTCTCTGTCAAGCACCAGGTTCCCAAATTTTAAAATCGATACATCCTAACATTACCCCCCAACACTCGACCGGCATGGGATTTTCTAGCGCCAACCCCGTGCATCGTACTTTTGCGTCTATTTTCATCCTATTTCCCATATGATCGGAGCGACTAGGTTGCATTTGGCATTTGTAGCAAGCTGTCCGGTCTCACTGGTGATATACTAGTAGTACTAGTCAGCTAAGGGACCTAGGTACCTGTGGCTGGAAGACCCTGGATCTCATCATGTGTAATTCATTTCCTCAGGAGTATCTATAAGCACATGATAGTAATATAGGCTGGTCTGGTTCTGTCCATGGCTTGTGAAAGGTGAATATGTGCTTCCGTATGCATATGGTGGCATAGATTGTGCTATGCATGTCATTATATATTTCTGACATTTTACCTGCCATTCGCCTATTGACTCCACCAACAAGATACTGTGTCCAAGTCTGTTAAAACATTTATTATGCCCTTGCACATATTCTAGACCGTCACAAAGAAAAACAAAAA